AGAGAGAGAGACAGAGAGAGAGAGGGAGGGAGGGAAGGAGGGAGGGAGTAGGAAATGAGAAACAAGCATAAAGAAAAAGAGCAGCAATAAATGAGTATCTATCAATAATAGCTTTCAATGCAAATGGATTAAATGTTCCAATAAAAAGACAAAGGGTAGCTGAATGGATAAGAAAGGATATGCTGTCTATAAGAGACCCACCTCAGAACAAAAGACACACAGGATGAAAGTGAAAATAAAATTTCCAAGCAAATTCAAACAAAACAAAAAAAAGCGGGGGGACACTTAAATCTGACAAATTAGACTTCAAAACAATGGTCATAAAAGAGACAAAGAAAGTCACTACATAATGCTAAAAGGATCACTACAACAAAAGGAAATAACCCTAATAAACATATATGCACACAAAACGGGAGAACCTAAATATATGAAAAAACTCCTGGAGGACTCTAAGATAGAGATAGCAATACAGCCATAGAAGGGGACTTTAACACCCCAATGACATCACTGGATAGATCTTTCAGACCAAAAAACAAGGAAAACAGCAACCTTAAATGACACACTAGATCAGATGTCTTTCATTTATATTTACAGAATATTTCATCCTAAAGCTACCAAATATACATTCTTCTCAAGTGCACATGGAACATTCTCAAAGATAGAATACATGTTATGACAAAAAACAAGTCTTCACAAGTTCAAGAAGAATGAAATCATATCAAGCAACTTCTCAGATCACAACAGCATGAAACTAAAAATCAACTACAATAAAAACACTAAAAAACATTCAAACAATGGAGGCTAAATAGTATGTTATTAAACAATAAATGGGTTACCAGTGAGATTAAGGAAGAAATAAAAAACTTCCTGGAAACAAATGAATATGAACACAAACAACACAAAATCTATGGCACAGGGCGAAAGCAGTCCTGAAGCATTACAGGCCTTCCACAATAGACAAGAAAAAGCTCAAGTAAACGATCTAACCCTACAACTAAAGGAATTAGAAAATGAACAAGAAAAGCCAAGAGGAAGTAGAAGGAAGAAAATAAAGATCAGAGTGGAAATAAACAACACAGAGACTAAAAACGACAATACGAAAGATCAATGAAACTAACAGCTGGCACTTCAGAAAGATAAATAAGATTGATGAACATATAGCCAGAGTTTATCACCACCAAACCAGCATTGCAGAAAACGTTAAAGGGACTGTTGTAATAGAAGTAGAAATAGAGAGAGAAACATAGGCATAAAGAAATAAAATGGCAATAGATAAGTACCTATCTATAATAACCTTAAATGTAAATGGATTAAATGCTCTAATAAAAAGACATAGGGTAGCTGAGTAGATAAGAAAACATGTCACAAATATAAACTGTCTATAAGAGACCCACGTGAGAAAAAAAGACTCACACAGAATGAGAGGGAAGGGATGGAAAAAATTTTCCATGCAAATGGAAATGAAATAAAGGTTGAGGTAGCAATACTCATATCTGACAAATTAGACTTCAAAATGAAGACCATACATAACAAGTGACAAGAAAGGTCACTACATAATACTAAAGGGATCACTACAACAAGAGGATATAACTCAAACATATATGCACCCAATAAAGAAGCACCTAATTTTGTAAAACAATTTCTGGAGGACTTTGAGAGATCGACAGCAATACTGTCATACTAAGGGCCTTTAACATCTCACTGACATCACGGGATAGGTTTTCCAGGCAAAAAATTAACAAGGAAACAGTGATCCTAAATGACATACTAGATCAGATGGATTTGACATCTACAGAACACTCCACCTCAAAGCTTCAGAAGACACATTCTTCTCAAGTACACACAGGACATTCTCAAAGACAGACCACATGTTAGGACACAAAATAAGTCTCTACAAGTTCAAGAAGACTGAAATCATAACAAACATCTTCTCAGACCACAATGGCATGAAATTAGAAATGAACTACAATGAAAACACTAAAAAACATTCAAACACATGGAGGCTAAATAGCCTATTTTTACACAATGAATGGGTCACTAAAGAGACCAAGGAGGAAATAAAAAACTTCCTGGAAACAAATGAAAATGAACGTACGACAACCCCAAATCTATGGGACACAATGAAAGCAGTCCTGAGAGGGAAGTTCAAGCACTACAGGCCTACCTCAAAAAGCAAGAAAAACTTGTAATAAACTATCTAACCCTACAACTTAAAGACAGAAAGACAACAACAGGAAAAGTCCAGAATAAGTAGGAGGAAGGAAATAATAAAGATAAGAAGAGAAATAAATGACATAGAGACTAAAAAACCAATACAAAAGATCAATGAAACCAAGAGCTGATTCTTTGGAAAGATAAATACGATTGATGAACCTTTAGCCAGACTCACTAAGAAACAAAGAGATAGGATCCAAATAAACAAAATCAGAAATGGAAGAGATGAACAACAGACAAAACAGAAATACAAAGGATTGCAAGAGAATACTATGAACAACTATATGCCAACAAGCTGGACAACCTGGGTGAAAAGGACAAAGTCCTAGAAAAATACAATCTTCCAAAACTCAATCAGGAAGAGTCAGAAAACCTGAATAAGCCAATAACTGCTGATGAAGTTGACGCAGTAATAAAAAAACTCCCAGCATACAAAAGTCCTGGTCCAGACGGCTTCACAGGGGAGTTTTACCAAACATTCAAAGAAGAACTAACACCTATCCTCCTCAAACTATTCCAAAGAATCCAAGAGGAAGGAACACTTCCAAGCTCTTTTTATGACACCAGCATGAGCCTAATTCCAAAATCAGATAAAAACACTACAAACAAAGAGAATTACAGGCCAGTACCCCTGATGAACACAGATGCTAAAATCCTCAACAAAATACTAGCAAATCGGATCCAGCAATATATTAAAAAGATCATACATCATGACCAAGTGGGACTTATTCCAGGGATGCAAGGCTGGTATAATATTCGCAAATCAATAAATGTGATACATCACATAAACAAAATTAAGGACAAAAATCACACGATCATATTAATAGATGCAGAAAAATCATTCAACAAAATCCAACACCCATTTTTTATAAAAACACACCAATAATGTACTCTCAGAAAGAGAAACTAATTGTAAATGTAATTGTTTTATCCCATTTACCACTGCAACAAAAAAATCAAGAGACTTAGGAATAAACTTAACCAACGAGGTAAAAGACCTGTACTCGGAAAACTATAGGAAGTTGCAAAAAGAGATAGAGGAAGCTATAAACAAGTGGAAGAATATACCATATTCATGGATTGGAAGAATCAGCATCATTAAAATGTTCATATTACACAATGCAATCTACAGATTCAACACAATCTCTATTAAAATACCAGTGGCATATTTCACAGATCTAGAAAAAATAGTCCAAAAATTTATATGGAACCAAAAAACCCCCAGAATAGCCATGGCAATCTTAAGAAAGAAGAACAAAGTTGGAGGTCTGAAAATGCCAGATATTAAACTATACTGCAAAGCCACTGTAATCAAAATAGCCTGGTATTGGTACAACAACAGACATATAAATCAATGGAACAGAACAGAGCCCAGAAATCAACACAAGTCTTTATGGTCAATTAATATTTTACAAAGGAGTCAAGAGCATACAATGGAGTAAAAACAGTCTCTTCAATAAATGGTACTGGGAAAATTGCAGAGGTATCTGCAAAAAAAAAAAAAAAATGCAACTAGATCACCAATTTACACCATACACAAGAATAAACTCAAAATGGATAAAAGATTTAAAGGTAAGACATGAAACCATAAAAATCCTAGCAGAAATCTTAGACTGTAAAATCTCAGAGATCTCACATAGCATAATTTTCATCAATACATCTCCTAGGGCAAAGGAAACAAATGGAAAAAAAAAATCCAGTGGGACTACATCAAACTAAAAAGCTTCTGCACAGCTAAAGAAACCACCAACCAAACAAAAAAAGGAATCCACTGTATGGGAGAACATATTTGCCAATGACATATCTGATAAGGGGTTAATATTCAAAATATATAAGGAATTCATACAACTGAACAAAAGGAATACAAACAATCCAACTGAAAAATGGGCAAAGGACCTAACTAGACACTTCTCTAAAGAGGACATACAGATGATCAAGAGACATATAAAAAAATGTTCAATGTCACTAATCATCAGAGAGATGCAAATGAAAACTACAATGAGGTATTACTCACACCTGCCAGAATGGCTACCATCAATAAATCAACAAATAATGAATGCTGGCCCAGATGTGGGGAAAAGGGGACCCTAGTATACTGTGGTGAGAATGAAGACTGGTTCAGCCACTGTTGAAAACAGTAGTATGGAGTTTCCTCAAAATATTAAAAATGGAACTGCCATTTGACCTAGTGATCCCACCCTTGGCAATATATCCTAAGAATCCCAAAATACCAATCGGAAAGAATGTATGCACCCTAAGTTCACAGCAGTGTTACTTACAATAGCTAAGATCTGGAAACAGCCCAAGTGCCCATCAGTAGATGAGTAAATAAAAGAGCTGTGGGATATTTACACATTGGAATACTAAAGAGCTATAAAAAAGAAGGACCTCTTCTTACCTTTTGACACAGCATGATGGACCTGGAGATTATTATGCTAAGTGAAATAAGCCAGTCAGAAGAAGACAAATATCTTATGATCTCATTTATATGTGGAATCTAATGAACAAAATAACCTGATGAACAAAACAGGTGCAGCGACATGGAAGCATGGAACAAACTGACAGATATCAGAGGGAGGGAGGGAGTGGAGGGCAGGAAGACATTAACCAAAACCTTATATGTATATATGCATAGCCCATGGAAACAGACAATAGTGTGGTGGAAGCTTAGGTGGGTCGGGAGCCGGGTGGGGGAGGGCAAAGGGGAAAAATGGGGGGCATCTATAATACTCTCAACAATAAAAATATATTTAAGAAAGCACAAAAAACAATTTGTCCTGTCTTACCAATATTGTAAAGTGCTTCGGTACAAGAAGAATCATTTCTCAGAGCCTCTTTATAGAATTCAGCTGCCTTCTCATAGTCACCATTTGCAAACACTGTATTCCCTTTGTTAGTAAGAGCAGATGGATTATATCTATCAGAGTTCACAGCTAAATCTGCATAGCTGCTGGCTTGTGCAAATTCGTTTTCCTAAAGCACAAAACATATACAAATTATTTGGAGTTCATCAAATGTTTTTTTTGAGATTACAGACATGAAAAACAGAAACAAGTATTTTACATCTATTGGGTTTGATAGGCTTATTCAGCACTTTCAACTATCCATGTGTCTTATGATTGATGTCTCCAGTCTCATGTTTTGAATAACATCGCTATCTATATGTAGGTGGCTCCATTTCAAATGCCCAAATCTCATGTTATTGTTTACTGCACACCATGCTTCCCAAACCTCAAGTCCTTGAAGTAGTATGAAGGCATCACTGTCCATCTGCCCTGATCAAACTGGGTGAATCACCTACTAAGTCCTAGCACTCGATTGTCTTTGCTTCTTCACTCCTCCTCGCTGCCAAGTGCTCCATCAGGACCCTGCCATATAGACCTCTCAGTTCTTAGGTGGTGTGGCCTTTGGTGCCCTATCAGCTTGGCTAAGCTGGGGGCCACCGTTCCCAGAACACCTTTCCCTGTGTGGCTCTTGACTAGAGTTGGCTGAAGGGAACTTCTAGAATATGAAGCAGCAGCCTTCCTCTCTGCAGGTCTTTTTCTGGTCATCAGATACATGCCTGATACAGAAATGCTGGGGTTCCAGCCTGTCCTCCTCACTCACTTCTATTCCACACCTGGTTGTTCTTCCTGACTGCATTGTTCCTGCTGACGACAGTGACCTAGATCCATGCTGAGGCCTGGCAGTGGATTCAGAGGAGGCAGCTGTTCCAGGAAGTGTCCCCCTGGGTGGCTTCTGGATGTGCTAGGCCATTCACTGACTGAATGGTGACCCCTGCTCAGGTTGCCAAACACCGCTTCTTCACCTTCACTCCCACAGCTCCTCCACCACTATGGATGTTCTAATTCCTGTATCCCTTCTCTCATAACACTTCCAGTGGCTACCCTGACTGAATTTCTGAAAAACTGAGATATCATTCAAATATTGACCCTTTAAAAATGTACAGTTCAGTGTCATTTTATATATTTCATGTCTTCGATTTCTCTTAGTGAAAACAGATCCTCAAAGTAAGAAATGGCTGAAGGACAGAGATCCAATCAAAGATGTGGCTGTATCATCTCTGGAGACATTTCAGATTTAAGAGTGCCTAGCAGAGCCAACTTTCTCTCTCAGGTAGTATCTTTAGGGCTCTGTTCAACAGCAGCCTCATACAACTAAGTAGAAAAAGGTGTGCCTTAAAAAAAAATTATGGATGTGGTTTTGGGGGCATAAGGACACCCCAACGAGATTTATAGAAAATTTTCCAAGTTTTTAAGGGAGTTGGACTAATGAAAGTGTTGCCAGCTTGGATTAAAGGTACAGACACAGTCCAAAATGAAAAAGGGCCTCTGGACCCCCAATTTTTCCAGGCAAAAAGGAGGCTAAGAAAGTTAATCAGCTGCAAACAATAGGTTGTTGTTGTTTTTTCTGTAAAAGAAAGGTGCTCTCAGAGGACACAACCAAGAGCCAGAGACCAAAGGATTGGAGACCACCCACCAGGGATCAGAGCTGGGCCCTCATCAAGGAACACTTCCTTTTCCCACATTTGGGGGCACTGACCACAAGTGCTTAGCTGAGTTTCAGAACTGCTAAGGACCAGTGCCTCCATCCCATCCCTTTTGAATGGGAGTGTCTATTACAGTTTTCCTATCCTTGGCTCACCACAGAAAATTAAGTGTATGGGGCAGATGTGATTTTTTTGTTCCTGGATCTTTAGATCAAGAGGACCTGTGCCTGAGAAAGTTCTTTCTCTATCTAGACCTTATAAAGAGGCTAGCCTTAGACTACGATGATGAGACTATGAGAGTCTTGGGAGGGGTATGTACATTTTGAATATGGAAAGGATGTGAATAACTGGGCCTTGAACGCAGGCAGTGATACACTCACTGTTAAAACAATGGCCACAATGGATGACACCGCCCAGTCTTCATGCCCCTGTATGTTTCTCTCCCATGGTCATTTTGCTCAATAAGATAACAATGAATTCAATGCAGAGAGGAACCTGATAAACACCTGTGCACTGGGGTCTCCTCGATGGATCCTGTCCCATGTAGGAAGTCCAGGCTCTCCTGCTAGAGAAGCATTGGAGGGCTGAGATGCCTGGCCAGCACTAGGCTTAGGGCTTCAACACATGATTTTGGAGGGCACAATTCAGTCCATAGCATCTATTATGAAAGCTTATAATTCACAGAGACAATCATCAAATTTTATCTGTAACCTGACTTCCTGTCTGAGATCAGTGTTACACATGTCTCCTGGACATTTGAATTATATTGCCATCACTATAAAAATTAAAAAATATATTTAAGAACAAACTTGGCATCTTCCCCTCTAATTCGCACACTCCTCTGCACATGTCTCTGGCACTACTCTCCTGCCAGCAGAATAAAACACTAGGGTCCTTCCTCACCAGGGACTTTATCTCTTTTCTGTCTTAACACAAAGGATGTAACACCTTTCTGCTATAACAGTGGTTCTATACGGCAGCAATTCTCAATGTGCACAAATCAGAAACTCTAAGAGGGACTGAAAGTGTAGTACAACCAAACACAATGATCCTACATACCTCTTCTCTCCCAGTTTTTTTTTTTTTGCCTCTGTGCATTGTTTATTCCCTTAGTTTCCCTGCAAATGTCCCCGTCTCTTTTATCTATACTCTGACCTTTAAGATCCAACTTCTCTCTGGAATCTTCCCCCAAACCCCTAAATGAAAATGCTATTTGCCTCCTCTGAATTTCTAAAGCATTTAGTATCTCACATTAATTTGATGTTCTCTACTTTCAGCCAACCTTCCTTCCTTTCTACTCTACCCATCTGCCCCCTTTGTTCTAAATTAAGAATGTTCCCTTTTAGGAAGCTTTTAGCCTTTTAGTATTCCCCATGATTGGCATCCATAGATGTTCAACCTCTGCTTGTTATAGATGACACTGTGACCTTACATAAGTCATATAACCTAAGATGTCACTTTCGTTATTACTAGCCTTGAATTGAAATGTTATCTCCAGCTCATCTCCCAGATCTACACTCTACAATTTCATGATGTGATGTTTCCCACCACCACTTTTCACCCTCCCTTCTCCTCCTGAGATGTCCTCTCATTCATGCCCATAAACTCAACCGCTGGCCCAGAACTTGTTATATGACCTGGCCTTCCATATACCCTGTTCCACTGACATTCTGCATATGCTCTGTCAAGTCTCTCCTTAGGCCAGCTCCTCAGGCAGAAATTTAGCAACATGAAAATACCACATTATCAAATCTTAGTTACAAAAACATAAAACTTACCAAATAATACAGAAATGAGAGGTTGGTTGCAGCTGCACTTTTCACTCTACTGTCCTTTTTTTCAAACATTTTTAAGGTCTCTATAGCCTAGAAATAAAATATCTCTAAGTTATTACCATTATAATATGACAGTGTTCAGGCTAACTGTAGGAGCAGGGATGGACAAAAGATGGGTGCATTAATATGATTAAGAAAACATGACAAATTGAGAATTTCATTTGGGAATTAAAATTTATAAAAAATAAAATGACACTAAAAATAACATAACTAAAATTAAGAACACAATAGATGTGTTTAATGCCATATTAGACCGTAGAAGAGAGCAGTAAGTAGCAAGCCTGTGAGTGTTGTTACACAGTTTAGTTTACTCTGCACAATGGTGTGCGTGGTAAGGTTTTTACCTAAAAATCATGATCCAATTTGCTCTCTGCAAAATAATTTTATAATTTCTGCTTCTGGCCATTAGAAACTAGCTTACAGAAGACCATTGTCGTATTGAGAACAATTAGAAAAGTTAGATAAAATACTGAAAATATTTTCTGAAGGCACTAAAGAGCTACAGAGGCAACCAGGATTTGAAGGTCAAACAAGATCCCAGAAAACATTCCAACTAAATAAAATAAGCACAGCAAAATAAAAGGCTAAAAAATGTTCTTAGAAAAGACCATAAGAGGCATATAGGAACAAAGTGAAATCTCATATAAGCATGTTAGAGCAGGCAGTTAGAAAGATATGAGCTGGGAGAGGTAGGTGGGGCTTGGAGGGAGTGTGTGTGAGATGTGACAAACTGAAAATAGACAATTAGGTGGCAGACCCTTATGTGAGCAGATTCAGAGCCCTCCAGGATGTAGCCTAAGCAGTGGCATAGCACCTAGATGAAGGAGCTTTATAGCTTAAAGATACATTTTTTTGAGACATGTGGGAGGGCGTGACTTGCCCTTGCCTAGGGACTTTCCAGCCTAGGGGTATAAATCCTCTAAACTCCCAAATATTGGGGCCTGCTGAGCTGCCCGCTCAGGGCACTAGGTTTGATCTCAGCTGACTGAGTTGCCTGCTCAGGCCCTATCTGAGTGTATTTCTTTCCTACAGATAAATCCTTGACTGCTTTTGCTGCTATTTGTTGTCTCTTGTTTGAATTCATTCCTACAAGCAAGACAAGAACTGGGGGCACAAAGTACTCTCTGGCAGAGCTTATCTCTGGCCAGAAGCCCCCTTGACCACCACTGACAAACATAACTGGAATTCCAGAAGGTGAAGAAAGGCTAGTGGCTGAGGATTTTCCAAAACTGATGACAGAAAATAATTCTAGGAGTATTACAAAAAATGATCTGAAGTAGATCCAAATATAACTACATTTAAAAGCCATGAGAAATCAAAGTATACTTTTAACCACCTGAAAGTCTGAGATAATTGTAACCAAATAGGACATTTGGAATGGCCAAACACCTTGCGTGAAAGGTGAATAAGTTACCAACTTTGGAATTACGAAGAAATATTAGGGTGGAAAAAAAAAGTAGAGAAAGATGATGGGTCTGCCTACCTGCATGCCTTCCTCCTTCCCTTCCAAATGCATTTACTGAGTAGAATATGCTTTGCTTCATGGTGCCTCCTGCTGCCAGAGAGCACTGTGTCCAAGCAAAAATCCTTCTTGAGCTTTGACAATGGCCATCAGCTATTGGTATTGAAAATATCTGACAAAGTCTGACCTGTGTGCTGTTCAAGTGTCTGACCTCAAATGAAGTACCATGAAACATACTTGACTTAATGTTTTTTAAGGGTAGAAGATTTAAAAATACTAGATTCCATAAGCTTTGGTTATAATATGAGTAAATAATTATTCTTTTACAGGGGTTTTGAGTATTTTAAAGAAAACTTTTGGGAGTTTCTAGGCCAGCAATTAATATAATTCCACAAAGTAAACTCTGGAAGAAAAAAACCCAAACATGCCCTCACTTTTGAGATTTTTATTTCACTTATGTTTCTGGACAGTCCTCTTTAAAACTGCTAAGAAGGTCCTAAAACTTATATCAGAAGTTACTGCTGCTTGTACTGCTCAACCGTGGAAGTCACCTCATAGACCCCTCACTCAGTCTCTACACTATTCGTGGGAAAGCCACTATTTATGTAAGTTTATAAGCTGCATTTCACTTTGAATAAGAATTGAGATGTTTTTACCTTTACTTTTGAATTGTGTCACAAATGTATATGCAAATTTAAAACATAAGTCATTTGAATAGGAATTAACACACAGCCATTAAACTCTGAAGTCACGTGAAAGGGAAAGAAAACTGCTCCCTAGTATGTGAGAGCCATGTAGAAAAGAAAGCAGAAATTACATTCTTAAAACAGGTAAATTAAACTGTTATTAAAATCCTGAACTATGGTAATATATTGTTAAATCTTTCTAAAAAGACCACTTAAAAATAATATACTGAAAAAAAAGACAAACATGTTTTTTTCTATTTTGTGACCTAAACAGTACTTCCCACACAAACAAAAATTTTGTTTTGGCCCAGAGATGACTTCAGCAGGATAACAAAAAACAAGTGATCTCGCTTTGCTTCCATTTAACAGCATGACAGCAGAATTAAAGAGCTATCAGTGGTACATTTAATGACCCACAGTGTGATGATCAAATGACAGAATAGATATAAAGATCCTTTGAAAAGTCTTTTTAGAGAGGAAACAAGACGGCGGCGTAGATAACAGCTGTACTCACCGCCTCCTACAACATCAAAATTACAACTAAAATACAGAAAAACTGTCATGCAGAACCTCCTGAAATCTAGCTGAACAGAAGCCCTACAACCAGGGAACTGAAAAAGCATTGAGACCGGTAGGAGGGACAGAGATGCGGGTGGATCAAGGCTGGATCACAGAGATGCGGCTGCAGGCCCACACCCGGTGCTGCAGTTGAAACCTGGGAGGGAATCTCGGTGGTGGAGGTTTCCTGGAGGAGTAAGGGGTCCCAGCCCCACATCAGGCCCCCCAGCCCAGGGCTCCAGGGCCAGGAAGAGAAGTTCCCACACCTTCAGGCTGTGAAAACCAGTGGGGACTGTCGCCGAGGGTCACGGGAGTCCCAGGCAACTCCTCTTAAAGGGCCTGTGCACGGACTCACTCCCTCTGAGCTCCAGTGTCAGGCAGCAGCTTGAAAGGAACCTGGGACACTTGGGGAGGAACTAACCTGCCTGAAATTGGGGCGAGAGCTGGAGGGGCAGCTTTTTCCCAGACAGAAGAGCTGGCAGAGGCCATTGCCCCTATGGTGAGCCTTCCCCGCACAGAGCCAGGAAGCAGGCGCCATATTTGAATCTCCAGTACCTGACTCACACCTTTGGGCCCATCCTGATGATTCCTGGAGGCCCCGCCCCTCCCTACCTGTAAGCTCATCCAAGCCATTTCCAGTGGCTTTTCTATGCAAGTGGCCTCTTGAGCCTTATGCTTAGGACTTTCCTAAAATCTCTCAAACAAGCAGTAGCGTGCCCCATATGGCTTGATAAGTGGCTCCAGGCCTGGCACTAGTGGCAGCCTGCATTGGTTCATAGCTTGGCCTCTCCTGGACAACGCCAAGCCCAGCACAAGTAGCAGCCAACTATGGTTTGCTGTGTAGCTCATGCTGGGTGGCCCTGGGGAAAGCACTGGCAGAAGCTGACTTTGCACCTCCTGGGAGACCCCGGAGACAGTCGACCTGGTGTCAGACTTGACCACATTGGATTACAACCCTACCACATCCACGAGTGACACACTCAAGGGATGCACTTGGTGAACACCAAAGCTCCACTGAAGTAAATCCTGCTCCATAGGGGTGTCTCCAGCACAACAGCTCTTTGGCTGTAGTTGCAGCTCGTCCTCACAGCTGATTGGCCTGGGGGGTCAATTCCTCCCAGTGATGCCAACAGCAACCAAGGCTCAACTACAACAGGACAGTGCACACAGCCCACACAGGGGAGCACCTACAAGGCCCAGCTCAGGTGACCGGGGAGGCTGAGTCATTGGACCCTACAGGACACCTACTACACAAAACCACTCTACAAATTCCAGGAGACATAGCAGCTCTACCGAATACATAGAAACAAACAGCTGGAAGCAGCTTAAATGTGGACACAAAGAAACATGTCACAAAGGAAAGAACAGAAGAAATCTCTAGAAAAGGAACTAAATGAAATAGAACCAAGCAAGCTAACAGATACAGAGTTCAGAATTTTGTTTATAAGGATGCTCAAGCATATTAGTAAGAGTATTATGAAAACAACTGAGAAAATTGATGACATAATAAAGTACCAATCTGAAATGAAGGCTACATGAACTGAAATGAAGAATAATTTACAGGGAATCAACAGTAGAGTAGAGGACGCTGAGAATCAAATCAGCAATTTGGAACATGAGGAAACAAAAAACACCCAAGCAGAAGAGTAAAAAGAAAAAATCCAAAAATACGAAGAGAGTATAAGGGGCCTCTGGGACAACTTCAAGAGGCCCAACATTTGTATTATTGGGGTGCCAGAAG